TATAAAATCTTAGATGGTTTAGAACCTGGATATCTGATGGATCCTCTCCTCCCATATACACCTGCCTGGATCCAAAGATCTTGGAGTGAACTCTGGGTATAAGGAGGGTGGCCACTAAGAGAAGGGCCTTCTTCGCTGTGGTGCCCCATCTGTGGAACCAGCTCCCCAAAGAGATGTGCCTGGTGCCAGCCCTTTTGGCTTTTAGGTGGCAGATTAAAACCATTTCACTCTCCAACTATTTGAATTACTGCATTTTATTATTATTTTATATCTTATGAAGGCACTGTGGATTACTTGGTTTTATTTGATAATGGATTGTTTATTGAGTTTGTTTATTTATTTTACTTATTTAGATTTATTGTCTTATTGTTATTGCTGATCACTTTAGGGATTATTATTGCAAACCATCCTGAGAGCCATTAGGCTAATTTGGTATGGTATAGGAATGGTTTAAATAAATCACTGGGACATTACCTGGATCCAGTTGATCAGATTTATGCACTGGGGTTGATGGAGGAGAGGCAACCAAAGGCCTCTTAAAGTGGATGGCAGAGTAATAAGAGATGAGAAAGAAAAGGCAGAGACACTCAATTCCTACTTTGCCACTGTCTTGTCTCACAAGGAAAGCTACATCCAAGAGGAAGTAAAAGTTGAAAGTGAGATATGGCAGCCCAAGATTGACAGAGAAATGGCCAAGGAATACATAGATGGAATAAACATGTTGAAACCTCCAGAGCCTGATGAACTCCATCCCAGTGTAATAAAAGAGCTAGTGGAGGAACTCTCAGAACCACCGGCTATTATCTTTGATAAATCTTGGAAAACAGGAGAAGTGCCAGACAACTGGAGAAGGGCTAACATTGTTCCTGCCTTCAAAAAGAAGGAAAAGGAACCTGGGAACTATGGGCAAGTTAGTCTGATGTCAATCCCTGGAAAAATTCATCTGCAAGCATCCTGAAGAAAATGCAGTGATTAATAGAAGCCAGCATGGATTTATCAAAAATAAATCCTGTCAGACTAATTTAATCTCGTCTTTTGACTGGGCAACTCCCAAATGGACAAAGGGAACACTGTAGACATAATCTACCTAGACTTTAGGAAAGTTTTTGACATAGTGTGACATGACATTCTGATAAGGAAATTAGCAAAAACTGGACTAGATGGAAAAACTATTAGGTGGATCCAAAATTGGCTGCTGAATCAGAGACAAAGACACCTCCTCAAATTGGATGGGGGGTACCACTAGTGGGGTACCACAGGGTTCAGTTCTGGACCCAGTGCTCTTCATCATCTTTATTAATGATTTAGATGAGGAAGTACAAGGAAAAATAATAAAATTCGAAGATGATACAAAACTGGGTGGAATAGCAAACACCCTAGAAGACAGAATGACAATGCAGGGCAATCTTGATAAACTTGAACACTGGGCTGAAAGCAACAGAATGAGATTCAATAAGGACAAGTGCCAAGTCCTCCACCTAGGAAAAAGAAACTAAAGGCTTTGGTACAAGATGGGGAATGTGTGGCTCAACAGAACTGAACAAGAAAAAGATCTTGGAGTAGTTGTGGACAATAGGCTAAACATGAGCCAATGTGATGCAGCCACCAAAAGGGCAAATGCTATTTTGGGATGCATTAACAGAAGTATTACTTCCAAATCACGAGAAGTAGCAGTTGCTCTATACTCCTCACTAGTCAGACCTCACCTGGAATACAGTGCCCAAAACTGATTTAAGAAAGATGCAGAAAAATTAGAAAGGGTTGGGAAGGGCAAGAAAAATGATCCATGGTTTGGAAACACTGCTCTAAGAGGAGAGACTGAGGGAACTGGGCATGTTCACCCTTGAGAAGAGAAGACAGAGGTGGGACATGGTATCCCTCAATAAGTACCTCAAAGGCTGTCACAAAGAGGAAGGTCAAGATCTCTTCTTGCTGATGCCAGAGTGTAGGACATGGAATAATCAATTCAAGTTGCGACAACCAGATTCAGGCTGGACATCAGGAAGAGCTTCCTCCCTGTCAGAGCAATACAACAGTGAAACCAGCTGCCTAGACAGGTGGTGGGTGTTTCCACACTAGAGACATTCAAAAAGAAACTGGATGGCCATCAGAGTGGGATGGTGTAAATTGGTGTCCTGCAGCTGCAGAGGGTTGGACTCGATGTCCTTCATGGCCCCTTCTAACTCTTCTGTTCTATGATTTTATGACTCTGAGTCCCAGTACAGATTAATGAGTGTGCCCAGTATGGTGGGACCTTGGCTCATGAACTCAATCCGTTCCACGACTCTGGTTGTGACCCAAATTGGTTGTGACCCAAGTCAAATTTCCCCATAAGATTCAATGTAAATAAGGTTAATCCGTTCTGTAACTATTTTTTTATCAGAAATTTTGAAACAAAATGACAAAGAGCAACAAAGTAACAAACTACTGTACAGTACAGTGGAGAACACTAACCTAGGTGGGGGCAGGGGAGGTTATTGTTTTGAGGAAGAGTCCCCCTCTATAAGGACACTGGGGAGATCTCTTTCAGGGATTTTCTCTCTTCTTTGTCTCTTAGCTGCAGGGTCAAGTTTGGTGAAAAATCTGTCTATAGGCACTTGTTTTTTTCTGCGCTGCATAACCCTCCGGAAATGAGAGACCACGTTATTGTTATCAGATTCAACACTCTGTTCGTTACATTTATGTTGGGGTGGTGCTTCTCAAACCCTGGCATGGGCGTGCTCCTGCAGGAAAGACGGGCACAATCTCAGCCATCCCCCCTCCCCCCCGCCAGCACAATTGCAGCCATCTCCCCACCCTCCCGAGTGGGGAGATGGCCAGGATCACAACTGCCTTCGTGCAGGGAAGACATGCGTGATCACAGGCGCGTTCCTGCAGGAAAGAGGAGCACGGCACAGCACAGCCGTGATCACACGTGTTCCCTGCACAAACGCGACTGTGATTGTGGCCATCTCCCCACTCGGGGGGTGGGGAGATGGCTGCAATCTTGGTTGCCTCCCAACACGGAATTCGTGACCCAAGTCAAAATTTTTATGAAATTTTTGTTCGTGACCCAAGGTGTTCATGAGCCAAGGAGTTCATGAACCAAGGTACCACTGTATTTACATTTCGCATTTGCATCCAGTTCCCAGCTACTGATCCATAAAAGGATCTCTCTTTAATCCCCTGACTGCTGAGTTTGCTCAGAATCTTTGATGAGGAACTTTATCAAAAGATGTTTAAAAATCCAGGCAAAGTGTTTTCCCATCTACATTCTCAATTCAGAAAGGTTAGCAAGATAGAACTTTGCAGAAGCCATGTTAAGAGCTTCTGTATGTAATGTTATTAACCCGGGATATCACTGAGACTTATTCTTCCATTTTCTTTGCTGAATTGTGAGAGTGTTACTTACAAGTGACTTTTTCCCCAGGCTTTTTCTCACTTTACCCTATTGCATGTTCTATTACACAGGCACAGGGCGGTGCTGCAGTACAGCACAAATTGAGCATTACATGGGCTGTTTTTAGCACCATATCTAAAAGGTAGTTGGTTATCCTTTTTTCTAATAACAGTGCACAAATGCCTGAAAAAGCTGTAGATACCCTGAGGGATAATGAGTAAACACTAATGAGTGTGCAATAAATGCCTTCTGCAGAGAATTTGCTTCAACAAGACTTTTATATGCTTGTTCATTTTATCTTTAGCAATGCTTTCTGCCTGTTTAGCCAGAACATCACATAAGCTGAATGGCCTATGATTTCCTGGATTCTTTTCTTAAAGGGGCCCCACAAGGGACATTTTCAGGTCCTTTGAGTTAAAGGTGAAACTAAGGGACATGTTACCTATTTTTGTTAGAAGATCAGCAGTGTTATATTTTTGAGGTTTCTTCAGAACTCTTGGATTTGTTTCAATTTGATAATGAGATCTAGAATTTTATCTCATCACAACTGAAAGGGCTTGGTTCCTTCCTGAAAACATCCATTCAAGCATAAGTGTCTGTTCTACATCTTTTAAAAGTGAGGAAAGTTGCATGTAATTCCTCTGTCATTCCTCTTTATACCTTCCTCCCTAGCTGCCTTCCTGCTTCTGTTATATTTAAAAAAATTTTTTTAGTTTTGGTCTTAATGTGATTAGTGATAGGCTAATTTATTTATTTATTTATTTATTTAAATCTTGCAAGTTAGCATTCTTTTTGCTCAAGTTTGCAATTATTTTTGTTCTCTTTGCTCTATGTAAAAAGGTTCTGCAAGTATAGTGCCTTTTCCACATTTTTTATGTTACAACCTGAAACTGGAAATGATTTAATTGGTATCATTACCATTTAATGCACACAAGATACACAACATGGTGAAGGTTTTTGCTGTTCACCAGCTCTCCCGAGCCAACCTGGCAGAGTTACAACAGCTTTGCCAGGACGAATGGGCAAACATTGCAGTGTCCAGTTGCACAGAGCTTATAAAGTCTTACTCAAGAAGAGCAGCTGTGATTGTTGTCAAAAGTGCTTCTAACCAGCCATTGACTCAGGAACATGAAAAGTTTATGTTCCAACAAATGCCAGTGTGTGTGTGTGGGGGGGGGGAGGGTTACTTTTGTGTCACAATAAAAATATTTTACACTTCCACAGTGTTGACTATCTTGTGCACACATGGTAATAGTGCCAATTAAATCCATTTTAATGTAATGTTTTAACCCAACTAAATGTGGAAAAGTGAAAGGGGGTAACTACTTATATTTGTAAAGACAGTTGTGAAGCAGACCTTGAAGAAATAACAAGACTGAAATGAGAAGACACACAAGTATATGATCAGTGAGAACTCTATTTGCCTTTTAATATGTTATGTATACATTCAAAAAATGAAGTTATTTATGTAGCACTTTTTTTTCTAGAAATTGCATTCCATGACCCTGCATAAAGTATGACAGCGAAGCAGCATAAGCAATAGCTTGCATTTTCTCCAAATACGTGAATGTGAGTTTAAATAGCAATCTTTTGTACAATAATTATGAAATACATTTTTGTGTTACATTTGATCCTATACTTAGTATTCAGAATAGATGTATTATATATGTGCCTTTAACAGCTAATGCATACTAGCCTCCCATATGTCTCTTTCTCTCTCCCTTTCACCCCCCACCACCCCACCCCCAGCTCTTTTACTAGAGTGCATCTGCGGCTTTAATACTGACCAGATAATATTCAGTATATAACAGGTAAAGCTTTACCTTGCACAGAGGTAAAACAGTGAAAAAAATCTTCACCTACTCAGCTTCTGCCCATCAGGCTGCTGCTACAGGCTAAGGAAAAGAGCCCAATGCTTTTCATTAAAAAGGCCAGCAGCTTTATCAATGAACTCGCCTAACCATATAGCACCTAAAAGCTGGTTCACATATGCAGTTCCCCATTCACCGGCTACAGCATCTAGTGAATCCAGATGTGAATAAAGTGCCAGCAGTAGAGGTCCCCATCATCTTGATGACAACTCAAAATATGCTTTCCAGTAGAAACCATACACTCATTTGGCCAAGACTTAACAAATGCTGGAAAAGGTCAATATTCCATATTGTTTAATAACACTCCTGGAAATATATGAGAATGAAAACCTAGTTCATATAAACACGGTAGCACCATGGAGGTAGCCATCATGTGCAACTAACTACTTGTCATAGCGATCTGATGTGTACCAAGTTTGCCGTTCACTTCTTCATGAAAGATGATTAAAATGTGGGTTGAGCAAGCAGGTGATATGTAAGGCAGAACTGTGACACGTGTCACTGCATTCACCCAACTAGTGACATCAGAAATGGCAACTGATGATGGCCATATCAGAATGTTTCTGCTTTTCTTTTGCTGTATTTTTTTCCTATGCCATGTCGCATGGAGAAGGGATGGCACACTGGTTTTCTTCTGCCATTCTGCTTCAGTGGGACAGCATTTTTCCTGCCTATATTAAGTGGACAAATAATTATGCATACAGCAATTTTGATAATGCTGTCCTGGCTGCATCAGTTCTAGTAAATTCAGTATATATAAATTTCTGGCATCAGGTGGCAGCATGGATCATTTTGAGCCATCTTGAATAGAGACTTGGAAAAGCAGCCCAAAAGAGAAGGTATAAGGGAAAAGGGCAGATACCTGGGTTACTGTGTAAACCTAGATCAGTTAAGTATCATGAACTTGTATCTGCTGTTTTACAAGTAAAAGGAAGCATCACCACTGGGCAGGTTTAATGTAGGATGGAGCTCAAAGGAGCTTAGCAAAGGAATTCTAAACTTTCAGAGCGATAAATGGTGTCAACCAGCTTGTGCAGGACCAAGTATTTGGCCAAAGACAATGACAGAACAGAAGAAATGAATATGTATGCCATCATCAATAATGGCCATTTGATACCCAGTACCGCTCTCTTCCAAACAATTGTCTATTTATAGCCACAGTAAATCAGTAATGAGAGACCATTGCTAGGGTGCTTTCAGACACGGCTTTCATTGCACAATTGTCCTGCCACAAACACAGAATTTTGCTGAGCCAATGGCCATTGAAACAGTTTAGTCTTCCATTTGCAATGCTCCAATGTTTTTCCACAGCTTCTTTCTTAATTTCCTTAATAACAAAAACTTTGTTAGGATGGAAAAGGTAGAACAGCTGCACAATGCTTTTTGATTGGTGGCTAGGATCTATTCATCTGGAAGTGCTATTTTAAGAAGGTCCTAGGATCACTGTATAAGAAGGGACACAGACCCCATCCTTCCCAAGATGTGCACCTTTGTCCTGGTTTCACTTTTGTTTTGAATGTGACCACCACTGCACCTGCCAGTACACTAAAGAGCACACACCTTGGTTTAAGGATTAGCTAATGCCTACTTCTGCCTAACCTTGCAGTGTAATGATGGCAACTGTGGCATTTCTGTCTGCTCTAGCACAGACCTGGACTATATTCATCCCAGTCCCATTCTTGGGGAAATGTATCATCCCCACCAAAAGATTTATGAGAATTAAGAAATTCAAAATGTACAGTGGAGATGGAATAGAATTTAGAGCAGAGGTGATATTGCTCATGTGCTGTAGTGATGTCACCACACCTTAGAACGGGCTTCTCCAGCCTAGTTCCCTTCAGATGTGTTGAACTACAACTCCCATCATTCCCATGCTGACTGGGAATGTTGAGAGTTATAATCCAACACGTCTGGAGAGCGCCAAACTAAGGAAGTCTGTATTAGAACAGAGCTAAGTGTGGAGACTTTCAGAGAGGGGCACAGATGGTCCAGTGCATTTAGGTGTCCCTCCATCACTGCAGCACAAAGAGCCTAAAACATATTCCTATTCTTGCTGTTCCCCTGGAGTTCTATCATATGCAGTCAATCCCTAGAGGCCCCCAGAGCCCAGTCTGCACTGCTTTAGTCCCATTTTATTACTGTGGAACAACTGTTCTGAACAGACTTCTCAAGTGGAGACTGGTGTATCCCTAAGCAGGCTTCACAGTGATTTAAGTGGTGTGTGCAAAAGAGTGGTTTCCTTCCTACTGCAAAGCAATGCTGAAATTAAGCTGAATGGCTCCTGACCATCATTATTTTGTGCTTGCTTCTTTATGTCATTTCTGAAACATGAATTGTAGTTGCACGTAGCCTGCATACTTAAGGTGAGATAGGCCAGAGGGATTCTGTCCATCCCTTTAGGCAGGGTGGCTTGTCTATGGACACAAGATGGACAAGGACAAGAACTGTGCATTATCAGCCCTATGCAAATTAACTGTAGCAGCAGATATGTCACAGACAGTATCTCTCGGCAAGCTGGATCTGGAACTGAGTATGACAAGACAAGCATTGGGGTTGGCATGATCTCGCTTGCTTCATATCTTTGGATATATGCATATGTATGTATATGTTGTGTTATATAAGCAGCACTTGATCAAGAGTGACACATTAGCAAGAGCATATGAAAGTCTTAGTATCACATTCCAAAGGTGAAATCAACTGCCACTGGTGACATGCAGGCAAGGAAGCTCCCAGCAGTGGAACATCTCACAAGGCAAGAAAGTGGGAAGAAAGCAAGCTTATGTTGGGTTGTCACTAGCAGATTGTTTCAGTTTCAGTTCCTCCTCCTCTGAAACATTCCTACAATGTGTTGTTCACTGAGGATCAATAACGTTCCGTTGTTGGTCCTTAGCCTGTCTGCAGAGTGGTCTTTGAGGTTGACCAGAACGGCGGAGGCGGCGTGGTGGTAGGCCAGCCAGCTGGCGGCAGATCTCATCTAGAGAAAGACCAAAGAAGGGTTGGTTTATTCACCAAAGCATTCATGCCCAGCCAAGTTTCAACAATTTTACTATCTCTGCATAGAATTAAACCCAGGCATGATTGAATAGGGGAGGTATTTCTGGGAATCTTAGCACATCATCATAATATTACATTTATATTGCATCTTTTTTCCTCTTGTAATATTCCTCCACTATAATATACCTTATATCACTCCATTCTATTTTATCCTTACAGGCTGAATGGGATTAGAACCTGGATCTCCTGGTTAACACTATATTCTCAAAATTGGCATTTTTATACATATGACCTTAAAATGTTTGTCATAAAATATGTCTTTGATATGCAATTTAACCTAAAATAGTCATTTCATGAGCTAAGAATTGTATTTAAAAATTCAGAATAGTTTGAAAACTATTCAACTGCATTGAATCCATCTGTGTCTCCAGAAGTATAAATTAAGTTTTTTTACTTAAAAGTACAAACCAAATTAAATCTGTAATTTCTGAAATATATACTTTCAGAAATTATTATTATACTTTAATAATAGTAGTATATTTTGCCATACATAAAACATAGGAGTACATAATAAATATGAATTCCCTGTAACAGAATATAACACTTGATTTTATTTTTTCCTTTTGTGTTGTTGCTGTTTAGGTTTTGGTTTTTAAATCTATAACAACAAAATTAAAAAGAATGTTAGGAGTTGCAGTCTAAAGCATCTGGAATGCACCAGGGAAAATCAATATAAACCATTTTCTTTCTATAAAAATGAACTAATCTAGAGCATACAGTAGTATCCTGCTATTGTTCTTTCTTTGTATAAGATTTCTTATGGGAAAAACCTTGTCAACTTTGCTCACCCTGCATGGCTTCATCTTCTTTGCAGACAATACGAGAGCAGATCTCCTTGTTTATCATGTATGTTCGACGGACACTGTCATGAGAAATAATACAGTAGAGGGTGGGGAGAAGACACACCAGAACCAAAAAATCATGCAAGCTTTACATTAGTATAGACAATACTTGTAAATAAAAATTGCAAAAAATGCAAATCTAATATACACATGTGCACCTGTATATGCAGATAGTCCCTGGGTTATGAATATTTGAGTTACGAGGAACCCATACTTGTGAATGGGCAGACTGCCATAAATTCTATATAAATAACTCTAGGAACCTATGCAATGTGTTTGGCAATACTTCACCAGTGGCCACATAGTTCCCTGGAGATAGTTACAGCCGTTTGTTAGAGATATTCTAGATATTGCTAGAGATAGAGGTTTGCTAGAGATAGTCATGGCTATCCCTAGGGAACTACATGATGCATTTAGTGATGTGTGATCAGTGGACATGTAGTTCCCTAGAAATACAGTATCAAGGCTTTTCATTCTGGGCATTTGCTCAAGCGTATCCAAGCCATTGTGTTTCAGGGCACATATAGGGTTTGTAACACAGAAGAAACACAAAAGCAAAGCGAGTCAGAAGGGATCTCCTGGGCCATCTAGTCTGACCTCTGGCTCCAGCCAGCTCTGCTCATGTAAGCCCCAACATATGGTTGTCCAATCTTTCCAATCGTTCCTTGAACACCCTCACTGATGGGGCCTCAACCACCTGCCTTGGAAGCCTATTCCATATTCTAGGGATCCTAATAGGAAGTACTTCCTGACATCCAGCTTGAAGCCTGGTTTCTTGAGCTTTGGCCCATTGAAATGTGTCCTGCCCTCCACTGCAGGGAAGAACAGGTCACAGCTCTCCTCCACATGACATCCCCTCACATTAGTTTATCTTTAGTTTTTCTTTAGCATTTGCCCTTGTAACCAGACCCTCAGCTGCTACCAGGCTATTTATGGTGAGCAAAAGAAAATGGCTGTCCACAGAACTCTTGAGGCCTACTTCAAGAAAGCATCTCTAGTGGTAACCCCTCCACAGCACAATCAAACCCTGACTCTCCAGCACCAGGTCCATCTCCATCATCATCATCATCATCATCAAATATTAGGTTTAATGTTACTTCAAGAATGTTCTAAATTGTTTTAAGAACTGTTTCCTTTGGGGTTTTTTTTTTTACAATACTGCATACCTACACACATCCATAAGGATTCTCTCTCTTCAGTACCTGTAGTTATTATTACTGTATTATCATCATTACGATGCTGTATTGTGTTTAAGATGCTTTAGTAAATATGGAAGTGTTCCTTAAGTGTTTTATATGCATAGAAAGGTAAAATATACACATATACTAAGACAAACATTTGGTTTACTCAAGTTATGTGACTTGTATGTTAATTTGAGTTAAGGACGTTCTCAGGAATGGAACACATCTGTAAGCTGGTGACTACCTGTAATTGAATCTAGATAGTTCTAGTTTTCTGGAAAAGCTGGCATATGGGTAAGTTAGAGTGAAAAACTGATAAAAAGGTATCCAGGTGGTGGTGTGAAACTGTCTTTGCTCCCTTCTCTTCTCTTTGCTTCTTTGTTTCAAATTTATCAGTTTCTTCTCTTCTTGCAGGCATGCAAGCTTAGCACACATATGTTAAAAACCCCAAGTGGCAGGGAAAGGGTTGAAGTGGTCAATTTGAAGTGGAAAAACAGCAGATGGGAAAAGAATTAACACACTTGCCCCTCCCACACACACACTTGTGACATGATTGCTGAGAAATATGGAAATCTGAAATTTTGTTTGTTGTTCAGGGGAACAAGCAAGTCTCTGGCCTTCATTGCTGCAGTAAATACATGAAAAGAGGTGTCTAGTTCCTGCATAAATGCAACAAAGCCATAGAGACATAAGGATATTTCAGTGCTAATTTTCTACATGTGCTTGGGTCTCCCATGGCTTCCTTGGCTTTACCTTTCTACTATAATTTCCCAGTCACACTTCTTTTAATTATACTGATTGTTGTATAGACTATTAAAATAATCAAGTCAAATCAAGCAACAAAAAACTGCAACAGAAACTCAACATTGAACCGAATTTATGCAATCTAGTCTAACCATAGAATATGGGATATTTTAACACAAAATTCAACTCTTGGCTTCTTCCCTCTTACCTGGTAACACATAAATAACTGATGCATTGCTTCACAGGCTTATGAACAGAGTACAAACGTGTGCAAGGAAATTGCTCTTCGTGGCACTCTGGAATTAAATAGGAACATAGAATCATCCAGTAATAGAGTTGGAAGAGGCCAGAAGGCCATCGGGTCCAACCCCCTGCTATTACACTGGTTTACAAGGAGAAAGCCTCAGAAATGAAAGTAGCTAAATTTTACCAGAATTGGGTTACTGATAAAGGAAAATTAAATCCTGAGTATTAATTGGCTCCAGTTTCTAAGATATAGCTTCAAGTCAAAATTGCATTAAAATAATTCAAAATTATGAGGGGGATGTGCAATTCTGGAGCCCAGTAGCTCTGCCTTACTCTTAGGCAATTCCAAATCTCTGACCAGGTCATTTAGTTCACTCTGAAATTAGATGTGGTTCAGGAGGAGCATACGGTGGGCTAAAGTTTGGGTCCCGGATCAGCTGCATTCTGCTCATCATCTTTATCTTCATCTGAGACTAGAGAGTAGGATTCTGGTGGATCAAGTCCTCACCATGGGGTACAGGACGCAGTGCAGATGGAATGTTTGGATATTCCACGGTCCACTTATTTCTTGAGATCCCTTTTGCAATTTGGGGAACCATGCAAAAATAGCAGTTGCCACTATGATGGGTGGCTTCCCTCCACACTATTGGGACTGTGAAAGGCATGGATGTTGTCGTCTTGTTTAGCCAATGACGCAGATAAGTTGCACATGTAATGCAACGATAATGAGGGGCCCAACTCTTGCCCTGATCCCCTATTTTGCATCCAAAATATAGGTGGTATGCCTTTTTTACCACTGCCGTCATATTGCACTTTTGAGATGCAAATATAACCTTGCCACAAATGTAGCAGAAGTTATCTGCATTCTTTACGCAGTTTCGAGGCATCTTGGCTTCTGAGGGAAAATATCGTGCAACTGTTCCTTGGAAATGTTAGGCAATGACACTTTCACAAGCCACCAGATGTAACTTTTTGATGCGTAGATCAAATGTACCTTGCAATAAAAGAACAATAAATTACAGTTAGGTAATAATCTTTAGTCTCAAAGTCAAGATAAATTTATACATTTCCATGTGGAACCATTTTCATTGTTCTACTGTACTTTGTCAAGAAGTTAGAGGCATCATATTCATCAGACACCTCCCTCCCTTGTAGGTAAATATACTTGCCTGTGTATAAATCTTTATTGTGAAATGTCTTGAAAACTTTAGCCAACCAGCACCTTTATCACCTGTGTTTTAATTCATCTAATCAAAATATGTAAGAATCTGCACATTTTATCTCAGAGGTTGATAATTTCCCAAAATTTTTAATTTGACACTAAATTACACCATCCCATTCTAAGTGAATGTCACTGACCTTTTGGGGTTTATGACGATGCAAATAAAACAACTCAGTGGAAGGGACTCGTCAAAATCAGATGCTAAGATACCATATCAAAAGCTATTAAGAAGTTTCCTATATAATACTTTTACTTAGAATTGGTCCGGGTTACAAAAATATCAATGGCTTTCTATTCCACACTAAAATCTTGCCCTAAAAGCATGCTGAATTTTCTTCAAGGAGCTCTACCCAAGTGAAAAGGACTGCCACCCAAAATAATATTTTACAGCCAACTTAGAAAGACATGTTGCTTATCTGTGACTATAGTTTTCCAGTTGTCATCTGTGTATTCACACATTTGGACTCTGCCCCTGCATGGGGCCTCATTTTGGCATCTTCTCAAGCTGAGGAATTTCAGGTGGGAACCCCTCCCCATTTTAGCATGTGCTACTGTGCCTGCCCCTAGCAGGTTTCTACCTATCCCTTTAGGTCCTTGAGACCAACAATTGTGGCACTGCAACTAAGAGAGTATCCTGGCATTAACATCAGGAGTGCCTTTGCCCATATATTCCACCTTGCTGCTAAGGTCCTGAGGATAATCTTCTGAGGTAAGGTTAAGGTCATCTATCCAGGAGACCTTTTCAGTGGTGATCCCTAAGCTGTGGAATGGTCTCCCAGGAGAGATGCATCTGATTTCTTAAATACCACCCCCTCTTTTAAGAGGAAGTTCAAGATGCATCTTTTCCCAGATTGGTTCTCATGTCAATTTTACTTAATATGTTGTCCAGTCAATTTTGATTACTATTGGTTTTAATTTCTTGTAAACCACCCAGAGCCTTTGGAAATGGAGCGGTATATAAATGCTAAATAAAACAGCAACACAGACCTTAGTGTCAAACCGGATTACCAATTTCTGTTCTGCTTCTTGAGCTTGAGGTCAGTATGGGTTGATGGGTAAGGTTATGGGAATGCACAGAGGATCATTCAAAGAACAACAGTTAAGCAGTGAGCAATCTGTTTTTCTTTGTGATCTCTGTGCATCATGCATATGGGTGAGTAGCAAGCTGGAGGTGGGATTATATAATAAGTACAGAAAGAGAGGATAACTCTTCCAAATTAACAGTCTGCTTGGGAATCTAGTCCATAATGATGGATGAAGGTTTTAACCCAGGTTTTGACATGGGACACTTCTGCCAAATGCCACAGAAATAGCTCCACCTCATGTCAAGTGCACTCTCAGCAGTTCCATCCCTGACAAGTCACATGCTAATTTGATCATTTGAAGTAACGGTGGAGCTAAGCTTCGTAATGAAACAAGTAAACAAATTCTTGCCTCCAAGCTGTCAAACAGAGTATTTTGATGTCTGGGTGCCACAGGACTGTCCTGTTCTGAAAAAGCAAGCTCTGTAGCATGGGAAGGTGATAGAATTCCCCCAGTTGCTAGGATGAAGAGGGAAGCAAACCACACCCGTCATGTCCACCAAGGTGCAATTAGGATCCTGTCCATTTTGTCTGATTTCAGTTTCATCAGATGTGTGTCAGCAACAGTGGAACAGTGGAAGAAGCAAAACAGAGCTCTTGTCTAACTGATGAGAGAGCACCAATCTCTTAGGGAATTCCAACTAGTTCTAGCCCAACTACAAAACACCAGGCACATTAACACCTTCACTGAAACCAGGTGTGAATGCTCCATTTTTCAGAGGCTGTAGTACATTCAGGTGAAGCAGACAAGTTGAGAAGCCTGCAATGATGCTGTTCATCCCAGCAATGTGGATTGCTGTGAGGGAGATGTCTTATAGCAGCGGTCCCCAAATTTTGGCACCAGGGGCTAGTTTAATGGAAGACGGTTTTTTCCACGGATTGGGTAGTGGGGATGGTTTCGGGATAATTCAAGCACATTACAGTGGTGCTTCATACTTCAAACTTAGTTGAATGAACTCTGAATCATTTGAAGGCAGAAGTAATGTTCCCCATTAGAAATAATGGAAAGTGGATTAATCTGTTCCCATACCCCAAACAACTTAAACAGTAAATATGCATAATTTAAGGTAAAAATAACATAATTAAATGCCACATTTATTAATTAAAACTTGAAAACAATAAAAATGTAAATATGTACAGTACTGTATAATAAAATGAAAACTGCATTTACTGTCCAAATGTTTTAGTGAGGAGTGGTGAAGCAGAAAAGGATCAAGAAGGCAGTGGGAACAATCAGGAAGGCAGGCAGTCAAAAGGCACTGAGAAGGATCAAAGGGCAGTGGGAAGGATAGGGAAGACAGGCAGTTAAAAGGCATTGAAAAGGATTGAGGAGGCAATGAGAAGAATTGGGAAGGCAGGCAGTTAAAAGGCACTCAGAACAATAAAAAATGCACTCAAAAGGATCAAAACAGCATGCAGTGAAAAAGCACAGACGCAACAAGAGATGATAGATGACTTGGGCACACAACTGATGTTCATGCAGCAACCACATTTTTTTTCTCTATGGCTGTGACCTGAGCTTAGAAGCATAGCTTGAACTTTGAAGAGGTTTTATCTTGACTCTAATGTTCAAACTCTGGATCTTGCCTGCAGCCTACCTCCTGCTGCAGCCATTTCCTAACAGGCCACGGACTGGTCCATGGCCCGGGGGTTGAGGACCCCTGTCTTATAGAATACAGCAGTGCCATATCTGAGTTGCCAGTGACTGTGTCCATCCTTGCTTGTTGACATATACATATTTCTGTAGCTACCTGGCCCCAAAGCACTGCACTGAATATCTGGAGGGTATTCTTAGTAGCTAACAGTTTAAGTAATTGCTGTGATGACATTTTTTTCTTGCTCCCTGTCTGGTAAGTGTTTTGCAATGGGGAAATCAGCCCATGTTTGATACATCAGTCATGCAGACTCTTGAGGGGTTGAGCAAAGGAAAGCCCTTGCTGATAATTGCCCTTTTTATCTGCCATGCAGGGAATATTGGATTGGATCAAGTATGGTCACACAGATCTGAGAAACAGTGGAGGTAGTGAATGAACCAATTTTGCAGCAGTTGCATTAGAAGATGAGCAAATGCGACCATAGCTATCATGGCTGCCATTAGTCCAAGCAGGCATTTTACCTGGTAGGTGTTTGTCTGAGGGTAGCAGTACAACTTGGCTGCTAGTACTACTAAAACCAAGACTCGGTCCCAGTGTAGGCAATTTTGCCAGTGGGAGAGTTGCATATTGCTCCTATATAATGGATCACCTGTGATATCTTATCTGGAGGAGGATTCAACTGATGAAGGAGAGGGGGACAGCCAGCGTTGCAAGCCCTAGCCAGAGCCAGGTGGAGAACTGGAGGCTTCAAATGACAGTCTCCCCATGGAGCGCTCAGAGAAGCAATGTGGCCTCTCTTGGGCCATTCCTGAATTTTCCCAAATGTAGGGCTCAGCGCAATTAAGCCCTCTCAACGGCATATGATCAAACATGCACAGCAGAAGTTCAGATAGAAGGCAAAGTGTGGGGGTATTCCTTTAAAGCAACATACTCACCCAATTAGCCTGCTGTGCTAATTTATGACCAACAATAAAACAACAGCTAGAGACAGCTTACTGATGTAAAGTGGAATATTTCAAGTCTGTGATTTGTCTTACTTTACTGGACCTAACAGACTCGGGCTACCCACCTTGATCACTCTCTCAGACATTCCCAACTGACCTAGACATTTGGTATGCCAAACCTCATGGGCTGAATTCTAGACTGCTTTGATCTCACTGCTGCCTGCTTCTGTTATCTATACTGGAATTCTTATGAATAATTCTGAACTGGACTAGTTCCTTTCTGTGTTATTTCCGAAGATACCTCATGCTTGACCAAGGCACTTATGGGCCTAGGAGCAGGTTGCCACCTGTATGGGAGTGAGTGTCAATAACTGACATAACAGGCTGAGTGAATGCAGAAGGGCACAGGTAAGAAGAAAAGATTAATTAAGTCCTTGATCCATTGGGGTGGCAAGCAATCAATTCTCCAGGTAAGGATAAATCTGGACACCTTGATGAAGACTAAGTACCCACTTGGTAAAAACTCTCAAAGCCTTTGCCAAGTTGAAAGAGAGGGTGCAAAAGTTGTATGTAATGGATCCAGTGCTATAATGCAAGTAGTGTTGGCTGGTTCCATTGATCCCAAGGTGAAAATAAGCCTTCCTGAAATCCACTGCTATGAACCAATCTCCCTTATGATAGATTACCACTTTGTATGATGTTCAGTGCCTTTGGGCACCATTCTTTCTACTGTTTCACCATTCTTTTTACAATCCTGGAGGCCGTAAATAATAAATAAATGTATCTATTTATACATGTATTTATACATGCTCCAGCATCATTATTCTTTCTATACCATCCCATGGTCAAAGCTCTGGGCAGTTTTCAACAGTGACAAGATGATTTACAAGAAATTGGCCAGTTGTGCACTGATGGACCTTTCTGTCCCTTCTGCCTTATCTGCTTCCTGTGCTTCCTGTACCTGGCTTCATATTGTGATGGACCCAAGAGAAAAGATGGAAGTGCTGCTGGGTATATGCTTTGGTGATCCTGAAGGAGGTGTTCAGCGTGTTTTGGATGCAGTTTGGCTGCTTCCATGCTGCCCACTTTTACTTTCTCTCTTCTAGCCATTTGTATTGTTTTTCTTGGTGTTCTTGTTTGATTATAGTTTACATTGTTTTGTTTTATCTTAAGATGTGTTAAGCCACCATAAGTGGGCATTTTGCCAAGAAAGATGGGCATTACAAATGAATGAATAACTGAAAGATTCCATATCTAAAATAATTTTAAAAGATTGCTTAAACTCCATTAAAGTTAAATAATTTAAAATTTCTTCTGGAAACAGAAGGTACAAAATTAGATCAAGAGAGAGATACATACCATCACATAATAAAATAAGTATACAAAGAAGTTGATACTGGTCAAATTGGTGAGGATAAATAGGACAGAAATGGACAGACCACAGAACTAAACTTACCAGGGGGTGCTATATGATCATCCTCTGGAATTAAAAAAGGTAAGAGTTTATAAGCAAGAGATTATTGCACTACTATTCAAAAAAATGCTGGTAATGATTGACAACAAAAGAAGGGGAAGGCAGAGGATGAGGTGGCTGGATGGAGCCACTGAGGCAGTGGGTGTGAGCTTGGGTGGACTCTGAGGGATGCTGGAGGACAGGAATGCCTGGGGGAATGTTGTCCATGGGGTTGCGATGGACTGTGACTAATCAACATTCCAGAAAATGCCAGCTGCAGAAAATATGAAATTAACTCCCTCCTGAAATTTCTCCTCAGCAAACTGTGATGTCAAATGGACATTTTTAAATATTGAAAGATAAGATGGGCAGTCAGAACATCTAGTATTTGCATTTGACAACCAGGAATGTTGAGTTTTAATAGTAAACATTAGCCACTGATATTTAACAGTGCTTGTGTTGACATGTTAATTGTGAATTAACTAATTCTGTAGTCATGCCCTTCAGATTTAACAATATTTGATGGCTGACATGGAGTGATTCTTAGTGTTGAGCATCTGGCATGAGATTTCATTACATATTAATCTGCTGAAATTTAGTATAACAATCAAAGATGCTGTCTATTCTGTATTTGAATTTTACATGCAAAGATAAACTTATATTTTAAATGCAAATTGAACTTTTATTTCAAACTTTCAGGATATGAATGGCAAAACTTGAAATTTCAGTACCTTTCGGATACTCATATGTTTGTCATCAGCACCACCAAGCCTTGTCCAGAAATGAAGGCAAACTGTTTATAAAATTTTATAAAAAGAACTAATTCTGAGGTTTTCGCTACATGAAGCTTTTAGCCTGCCAAGGTTTTTATATCTGGATGCTTTGCAGGATTAAGATTGGTTCCTTTGCCTGTGCGGTTTTTTCCCCCCTGGTTTCTTTTTCCAGGCTTTACTGTATGTTTGATTATACAACCATAAGGTGGCACTGCAGTATAATGGAACTGCAAAATTACACAAACTTCTCATCAGATGACTTCCAGATAATACCCAAACTCTTGATCTTAAAAAAAGCTGGTGAAATGGTTACAAAGCATGATAGAGGCCCTGAGAGATGGAGATGTTGTATATAGCACCAACAAGCCACCAGGAGTGAGGAATGAGCACAAAAAATGCTTTGTACAGAATGTCCTAAGAAGAGGGTGAAATGTTTTTTCCTCCCTTAGAGAAAACATGTCATCATGTGCTTTTACCTGGCCCGTCTTCTACCTTTTCTCCAGGATCAGGCACAACTGCGGGTAGAAGAAATAAAGTTAGTGTGTACGTGTATTTGTGCATGCGCATGTGTAATAGATAAGAACGGGAATTGAACCATTAAAAAACAAAAGCATTTCTTCCACCCACAGCTCATTTCACAAGAATTCATGCTTTGAAAATCTTAGGCAAGCCCTTAAAAACCGTAACTCTGTATCAGTCATGACACTGGGGGCAGATGTGGAAAAAGAAAAAAACTCACCAAAATCATCTTTTGAATCGATGGGCAATTTTATATTAGACACTCTTGAAGAAACAGATGGTGACTTTCTATGCACTGATTGTTTTGTATCCAGCTCTGGGGACAGTAGCACACATCTACCTACTATGATAGCAAATCTGGGAGCAGGAAGGGCATAAATGAGAGTATAATGAGATGAATTACCCCATGCCTGCACACAAGCAGTCTCAGTTCCACTTCTAGAACATCCCTATAGCAGAGAGAACTTGGCTAGAAAGAAGAAAAAGCAAGGAGGGGTAGAGCAAAATAAGTTACAGTTCAGTTTTCACTGTTTCATTGTCATTCCCTCTTCAATTGGGAGTGGCACTGCTTGGAATTACTAACAGAATTCCTGATTGCATCAGCTCTTACAGCAGAATTGGCATACACTTCTTATAATCTAAATATGCCTTTTGGAGTGGGAGAAAAAACAGGTTGTAGCATAAAGATGATGGCATTTTTAATAGTATTTGATTGTGTTTACTTATATGTTACAATGTGCAGCTCTGTGTGGTATCATCATTTAATAACATTTTGATATTCATAATGAACAACTTATGGTTATATGGATTCCAGTAATCATTTAAATATAGTAGCTCAAGGGGGAAATCTGAATTGGGGAGATTTGATCGTGAAACACGTGGAGAAAGAGATCTCCCTTGTTAAATATTTCCTGGGAAGGTGTTCAAACCTCAACAATATTGGTTTAGGATTTTTCTCAAAAACATAAACTCGATTCATTTACATTTAATAGAATATTTTGAATGAGCAGAGAATCTGTGTGGAATAGGAAACACGGCGTTATTGGAACTAGGTAACAGTGGCCAGGAAAACGGAATAATAGGAAGAGGGAGAGTCATGGCAACAGTTGCTAGGAGAAACAGAAGGTTGAGAAGAGGGTGGTTAAAAAAAGGCAGAGAAGAGAAGGACAAAGGAAGGGAGATTTATCTTTCTGAAGAGGGAGTTTAACCATAGACGCAGCCAGCAAACAGCACTAAGGACCCACTGGATCAACAACAAACTGAATAGTAGTAGTGGAAGTAGTAGGTCTGCTGTGCAGAAGGCACCAGAGAGGCAAGCCGTCGAAGTGAACGAGCTAAGGCACTCTCTGTGCACACACATCAAGGAACCTCAAACAGTGACGATAGCGTGACCTAAGTGGAGGAGGGAGGGAAATTTATTGCTAGTTATTTAAAACCTACTAAAATCCTGTTGATACGTACATGCTTGTCCGGGTTATTCAATTCTCATCTTAGATGTCCATTTAAGCAATTTGTGGCGCCAGTTGCCACATGTGAAAACAACTCATATAAGAACAGCAGTACTCTTATATACTGTGCTCAAAATAAAATCAACTCTATTTGCAAAATCCAACTCAAATCCAGCCTAGAGTAGACATGTTAGAATAAACAGAACTTATCCTATTCGTTTCAATGTGTCTACTATAAGTAGGAGCTCTGCTGGAATTCACCCGATTGTTTCAACTTCTCCATCTTTCTTCTCCCCCATCTGGCAACCGTCCACATTCTCCCCACTCTCCCTGGCAACCAGCCACACTGTTTCCATCCACCTGCTCCCAACTGTCCATTTCCACCCAGGGTCTATACTGTCGTCCCAGACTGTGGCCCTGATCCAAATCAAGACCCTGCAGCTGCTTTTACAAAATGAAATATTATGTTTAGCAACTCCAAACATGGAAGTCCAACTTAACATGTACTTTGGCCCATAAGGTGTTTCCTAACCAATTATCATTAGATAATTAGATTCATTTCAATCTAGAAAATTCATTTCAATCTTTTCACTGAGAGACGATGGGGGATGGACTGCCCTTGATCCTCCTAGGCCAGGGGTGGCCAGACCTGGTCAACGGAAGAGTCACATACGGTAAATGTCAGATTTTTGAAAGCCACAGGTGGGCTTCTATGGGCAGCAATAATGAGCAGTGAGCAGCAGGTGGGCACCTGTGAGTGCCTGCAGCACCAAGCAAAATAAACTCAAAGAGCTGCATGCAGCTCCTGAGCCTTGGTTTGGCCACCCCTGTCCTAGACTTTTTAGCTGCTCTCATTACCATCAACTATAGTATCCTTTTCTAACTATTGGCAGAACTGAGACTGGCGATGATCACATATAACACTGAACCAAGTTGTGCAGTTTCCATATGGCACGGTATCTTACCTTCTGTTCTGTGTTCACACATTCACGTAGTAACTCCTCATGAGTTGTTTCCAAATGCCTCCATCTTTCCTCAAAATGTTAGCACAAATCCCATCAGCCCCCATGGCTGGGAATCAATCCCAGCATGCACTGCTTCTGCTCACCTGTCCCCCATTGGCCTACACACTCCACTAGGCACGTTCTCTGCCAGCTACTGCTTTTTTTTAATACTGCCCCAGTTAGCCACTATCTGCTCATCCTGGGACAGTTGTGCTGAAGGAGCAACAGAGCAACACCACCCGCTGCTGCCCTGCCCCGTGCATATTCAGACACACGTGTAGCCGGCCACGCTTTTCCCTCTCCCTCACTGCATAAATGCCCAGTCTTCGCCCCCGCCTTGTGCCTCGCTTGCACATGCCGCCAGTGCCCCCTCACAGAAGGCAGCAGTGTGGACACCGGTGTCAGGGACGGGGGTAGTCTGCCCTGCCGTCTGGACAGCAGCCCAGGCAATTCTGCTGACAGGCTATCGCAGGGGTGGGGTGACTGCAAAAGACTGACAGGGACAGGGTGGAAGAACATCATTTTAATTGTTAAAATATATGATCTGACCAGGGCAACTTCTTCTTCCTTCTCTTTTCTCCTCCTACATTCTTTATTTACTTATTTTATACTGTTAATTTTAATTTTATATTCTTATGTTTGTATCTCAGTGTATTTTTTGTATTTTTGTATTTAGTGGTAATTTATTATGTTCTATTGTATTTCAATGTATTTTATTGTGTTGTAAGCCGCCCCGAGGCTTCGGCAAGGGGCGGCATAGAAATGTTATAACAACAACAACAACAACAACAACAACAACAACAACAGGAGACGTGGGCTCTGTGGGACACTCACTCGGCACAGGGCAGTGGCCAGGCATGAGTGCCACACGCGGCTGCCCTCGCACTCGCTGCGGCTGGAGGTGCTTCCATCCCGGTGGGCGCTCCCAGGAGTCCAACCACCCCGTCACTGACCATGGTGCGAGTGTGCCTGCTGCCGTGCCTGCTTTCCCTGGCCTTGTCACCTTGCCCAACGGGTTTCTTTGCTGAGACACCCACCGTGCCTGTTCCATGAGGTCTTGGGAGAAGGCGTGGTGGGCATTTCGGCGAGACAGCAAGGTGACGAGTATTTATTATTTATTTATTATGTATTAAAACATTTCTATGCCACCCCTTGCCGAAGCCTCGGGGCGGCTCACAACACAAAATAAAATAAAATACAATAAAATACAAAAATAACGATATAAAATTAGCAATATAAAATAAATAACAATATAAAAGAAGGCAAGATGATGGGACAAGGTGGGCAAGGTAAGGTGGGGTGGGAAGGCTGGCCTCACACCGAGGTGGCAGGATGGGGTGGCCAGGTTTCCGGGAGCGCACACCAGGAGAGAAGTCGGGGCCTGTGGAGACAGCCAGCCAGTGCCTTGCTGCCAGCGATGTGGCAGTTGGTAGGCGGAACAGGGCAGTGAAAATTGGCAGCTGGAGCAGCTGTGGGGGTTGCTTGAGCCACCAAACTTGCTGGTGTAAACCAGGAAACCGTGAAATAATATGGCAACTAAAGTCACACATAACAAGCAGTGCTGAAACGTGGATAGTTAGAACAGACCTTTGGTTTTCTATGGGGATTCACAGTAACCAAACATGCCACGTGTCATCATCATTGATGACTTCATACATAAGGTCAAGCAGTCTCCAACATGGCTTATCATTCTATGTAAACACTCCCTTTTACCGGCACTGTGTGGTTTTACATAGCCATATTAATTACTCTAGTTCTGAGGTATGCAACCAACATGTAATCTCCCACTTATTTATTTATTTATTTATTTATTTATTTGGGGCATTTCTAACCCGTCCAATTACTGTAAGTCTCTGGATGGCGTACAACAAATTGCCAATAAATGCATCCTAATAAAAATTTAATTATTTTTTAAAAATTAATTAAAACATTTATATGCCGTCCTTTGCAGCAGGCTCAGGATGGCTTACAGAAATAAAAATATCAATATAAATAACAATATAGTAATATAAATAGCATTAAAAACATTCCACAATAAAACAAATTAACAACAATATATCCTTTCCTAATTAAATACATCTTAATAAATACGTCATAACCCAAGACTAAGGATAAAAACATAGTTAAAAATATTTAAGCGTTAAAATACCAGGTCAATAAAAAGGTCTTCACCTGGCACCGAAAAGCATATAACGTTGGCACCAGGCGAACCTCTCTGGGGAGCGCATTCCATAGCCAGGGCACCACCACAGAGAAGGCCCTCCTCCGAGTGTTCTCTCTCCTAACCACCTGTAAGGAGGGTTCCCGAAGCAGAGCCCTTGCTGCAGATCTTAAGGGGCAGGAAGGCATATAGGGAAAAAGACGTTCATTCAGGTAACCTGGTCCCAAGCTGTTTAGGACTTTATAGGTCAATATACCACCACCTTGAAATGGGCCCGGACTTCAATGGGAAGCCAGTGAAGCTGATAGAGGACAGGTGTTATATGAGAATAATGACCAGCTTCCAACAGCAATCTGGCAGCTCTATTTTGAACCAATTGAAGTATCCGGACCATCTCCAAGGGCAGCCGCATGTAGAGCACATTACAATAGTCCAACCAGGAGGTTACTAGAGCATGTGTCACTGTTGCTAGGCAGTGCTCGTCCAGGTAAGGATGCAACTGATGGATCAGATGAAGCTGTAGGAAGGCGCTCCTCATCACCACCACCACCTGAGCTTCCATGGATGGCTCTGGGTCGAGGAGCACTCCTAAGCTGCAGACCTTGTCCTTTAGAGGGAGTGCAACCCCATCCAGGACTAGGCCTAAATCACTTACCTGAAAACCTGAACCACCTACCAAAAGGACCTCCGTCTTATCTGGATTGAGTTTCAGTTTATTGGCCCTCATCCAGACCATGACCTTGGCCAGGCACGGTTCAGGACAGCCATTGCCTCACCTGGACTGGTTGAAAAAGAGAGGTAGAGCTGGGTGTCATCAGCATACTGGTGACTCCGCAGCCCAAACCTCCTGATGACCTCTCCCAGTGGTTTCATGTAGATGTTGAATAGCAAGTGGGACAAAATGGAACCCTGTGGTACTCCATGGCATAACTGCCATGGTGCAGAGCCAAAGTCCCCCAGCACCACCTTCTGGAATCGGCTGTCGAGATAAGAGTGGAACCACTGCCAAGCAGTGCCTCCTACTCCCAATCCCGCTAGCCTATCCAGGAGGATACCATGGTTGATGGTATTGAAAGCCGCTGAGAGGTACAGGAGAACCAACAGGGACTAACTCCCCCTGTCCCTCTCCCTGCACAGGTCATTGTACAGGGTGACCAAGGCAGATTCAGTACCACAACTGGGTCTGAAACTGGACTGAAATGGGTCCAGATAATCAATTTCATCCAAGAGTGCTTGGAGTTGTCCCGCCACCACCCGCTCCAACACCTTGCCCAGAAACGGGATGTTGGCCACCTCTGGGTCCAGGAATGCCTTCTTCAGGACGGGTTTGCTCACCGCCTCCTTCAAAGGGAGGACTCAGCCCTCCCTCAGAGAAGTGTTAATAACCTTCTGGATCCAGGTACCGATCCCGTGTTTGGCTTTGGTAAGTAGCCACGAAGGGCAAGGGTCGAGTAAGCAGGTGGTTGGGTGTACTAGTCCAAGCACCTTGTCCACATCATCAGGCTGCAACAACTGAGATTCATCCAACAATGATGGACCTGACAAGGCTCTGGACACTTCCTGAAATGGAACCCTACCAACTGTGGAGTTCAGCTCATGACGAATCTAAGCAATTTTCTCCTTAAAGTGCCATCCTTAAATTTTCTCCTTTACTACCCTTCCATGCTTTAGTTCTGCCACATTTCTGAGATCTTAGAGCACCTCTTCCAATCCCCTGGACAAAACCAGGTATGCCAATCCTGAGAAAAAAGAAATACTCAGACCGTGTGTAGTTTCACATTTTTAAAATTCCTCTAATCCTAGTATATTGTGACTACAGAGATAAAACGTTTACTTGGAAAAATTCTGTATATCATTGTAGAAAACATATTTGAAATGAAAGTAATTAAGTGTTCTGAAATGATATACATGTCCTATTGGCCACCTGGTGATAAAATATTGCTATCGTGACCAGTGTCAGTTCTAGTGGGCCCCAGCAGTGCCAGTCCAGTTGTGGATGCAGCCATTCTCTGGGTAGCCATGCCAGAGATCCTTGTGCTTTGGCGCTGAGGTCCGTTCTTAGCTACACCACTGCTGCTTAGCAGCAGCTCTACTTCTAGGTGTCCTATAGGCTCCTGAGAACAGTGCTCTGAGAATCCTCTAGAGTTCTAAAAGGTTTCCATCTGTCTCCATTTTTTAAAATAAATGCATGACATCACTGCATGAAGTCATGCAGGAGACCTGAGTTCCTTACTTAAAATTACCATGTGTAAGATTGTATAGAGATTCCGATGTGGTTTAGGAAATGGCCATCTCTTTCTTGAAGAATGCAGCTAATTTTCAGGCAAAATGTCATGCTGTTGTTGGGGAAATCCAGACTAAATCCTGGTAGAAAAAGGTTGCTTATAAGGGCCTTTGCATTATAAAATCAAACCTGTGGCCCTTTCTCAGAAAGCAGCAGAATTCCAAGCCAGGTTCTGTTTAATATTGCTGTTACTTTAAGATGGAATTCTTAGTTGGACTGAGAAGCTGCTGTAGGCTAACACTATCAGTGGGAAAATGCTGGTGTTCCCATCTACTGCAGGCAACTGAGACAAAGGTGTCCATTTGTTTCTGAATGGACCCATTTAATCATCAGAGTTGATGATTCAACTCTCAAGTTCAGCAGAGGCAAGTACCTGTGCAAGGTAGTTGTCAAGACAATTTTTCTGAATGGTTCCTCAATCGGACACATTTGCATGTTAAAGGAGACACAGAGGCTGATCCAAACTGTCCGGAATTCACTGAATTGACTTGTCAAATAAGGTTCAGTCCAGGACATTTTCTATTCTATTGTCACTGCCATTTCTGATCAGTTTAGAGTATTGTTTTTTGTGTATGAAGACATAAAGATGCTATTATGTTAACATAACATTCGGGCCAGGTCGACTCATATTATATTGTTTTATACTGTGCTTATTTATTTATTATTGTGAGCCGCCCCGAGGCTTCGGCGAATGGGGCGGCATAGAAGCCTTCTAAATAAATAAATAAATAAATAAATACTCTGGAAACCTAATACTCTGTATGTGATCGGAAGGTTATCAAAATGGCTGTACATGGGCTGTGACTTTGTAGTTGGCAGAGAGGACGGCTACCTGGTAGCATGCTGTTGTAAGTAACTGCAGGGGGCCTGGGCGTTCTCACCAGTTAAAATGCTGGGGTTCAAAGTGATGATTCAGTCTTTCCTGCCGGTCTGAGTGCTCATTCTCACCATTGGTAAGGAGACTCTGACACTATCTACTGTAATAAGAGTATATATAATATCTGAAAATAAGGGCCATGCAGCAATTTCAGAGGGACTAAACAGCATTTAGTTTTTGAAATGCAAGAAGATCATACTTTACAATGGTTTACATGACATGCATGCTCATATGCCAAGTCATGTATGCACACATGCGCTTACACACACACACACAATACATTCAGGGATCTATATTCATACACTAGCATAGATTTATAGTGATTTTAAGCATGATGATTCAGATGTTATGCATTATTAATCATTATTCCCATTTACCCCAGTGGAAATATACCTGTTGTGTCTTCAGGAGGTTCCTGAGCAGTGACCACAGGCAGCAGCCAGTCTAGATAATAGGAGAAAATATTGTTTGCAGTCTGTGATTTACATAAATTGACATAAGGTAATTGTTACGAATTAGTGAAGGCCCATCCCTGACCCATCTGCAAAGATGGAGCTGCAGAATCCGGATTGATGGGCTGTCTCTACTTTAAGTATCTGGAACACATCACAGGCCGAACTAGATATGGCAAAGCAGTTCTGTGACTGTACATGGGGGCGGAGTTTGCTAATTTTTGTAGGGGGAATGGCACTGTGGGAAGTCCGCCTGGCACTGTCGTTACTGATTTTTTGGCGCCAGGTAAAGACCTTTTCATTTAAACATCATTTTAATTGTTAAAATATATGATCTGGCCAGGGCAACTTCTTCCTTCTCTTTTCTCCTCCTATATTATTTATTTACTTATTTTATACTGATAATTTTAATTTTATATTATTATGTTTGTAACTCAATGTATTTTTTGTATTTAATGGTAATTTATTATGTTCTATTGTATTTCAATGTATTTTATTGTGTTGTAAGCCGCCCCGAGGCTTCGGCAAGGGGCAGCATAGAAATGTTATAATCTTCTTCTTCTTCTTCTTCTTCTTCTTCTTCTTCTTCTTCTTCTTC